TGTCGACCCCCCCGCAGCGCTCGACTTGGTGGCCATGAACAGACGCAGCAGCGCGGACTCCGTGCGCAGCACGATCGAGGCCGCATTACATGGGCGGGACGACGGAAGGAGGAAGGTCGGAGGAGGGAGGGAGGGAAGGAGGGAGGAGGAGGAGGAGGAGGAAGGAGTCAGGAAGAGGGAGGAGGAGGGAGGGGGAGGAGGAGGAGGAGGAGGAGGAGGAGGAGGAGGAGGAGGAGGAGGAGAGGAGGAGGAGGAGGAGGCGGAGGAGGAGGAGGAGGAGGAGGAGGAGGAGGAGGAGGAGGAGGAGGAGGAGGAGGGGGAGGAGGGAGGAGGGAGGAGGGTGGAGGAGGGAGGAGGGAGGAAGGAGGCGGGAGGAGGGAGAAGGGAGGAGGGAGGAGGGGGAGGGAGGAGGGAGGAGGAGGAGGGAGGAGGGTGAGGAGGAGGAGGAGGAGGAGGAGGCGGAGGAGGAGGAGGAGGAGGAGGAGGAGGAGGAGGAGGAGGAGGAGAGAGGAGGAGGAGGAGGAGGAGAGAGGAGGAGGAGGGAGGAGGAGGAGGAGGAGGAGGAGGAGGAGGAGGAGGAGGAGGAGGAGGAGGAGGAGGAGGAGGAGGAGGAGGGAGGAGGGGGAGGGGAGAGGGAGGGGGAGGGGGAGGGGAGGGGAGGGGGGGGGGGGAGGGGAGGGGGGGGGGAGGGGGAGGGGAGGGGGAGGGAGGGAGGGAGGGGAGGGGAGGGGGAGGGATGGAGGGAACGGGGGGAAGAACGCGTGGAGAGAAGTGTGGGTTCGCTACCCACGGACGCAGCAGGCGTTCGACCGGGCGGGGACGGCGCCACGAGCAGCAGAAGTCATCCAGATCCCTTCCGGGTGGACAGGGCACGCGGCTGAGCCGCGATTTTGAGCTCGAGTGGCCAATGGGGCGAGGCTCCTTCCGCGGCCCACGGGAAGAAGCTGGTGCGGGAAATGAGCGAGGAGTGGCGCCTACGCCCGCCTGCGGGGCACAGGATACACGGGAGCAGGCAGCCGCCAGCCCGGTGCGCGTTGTTGCGGCAACTTGCAGCGGCGGCTCTGTGTCCCAGTCTCAGCACGAACGAAATAGGTACGAACAGAATGGGTACACTGCCCAACAACAGTTCCTGCTCAGTTTGAACAGGACTCGCTGTCCGCGCCGCCGCGGCCTGTGTCCATTTGAGACAGAAGGCCGCCTGCCCAACAGCGGCCGCTGTTGGTTTAGGACAACATGTATTATCAGGCACTGTACCCATTTTTTCCGTACCCACTTCGGGCGTCCAAACATCAGGAGGGGAAGAAACACACAGACACAATTAATCGGCGATTCCCAGAAAATATGGGAAAATATGGGAAGTGGGGGGGAAGACAGACACCCAGAAAATATGGGAAAATATGGGGAATATGTTTATTTGTGTGTATTTATGTGTGTGTCCTGGGGCCCCTTCAAAACAGTCTGCCCGCCATGCTCCCTCCCGCTGCCAACACCCCGCGCTGGGGCGGCGGCTTTGGCACTGAGCTCCTCGAGCCGCACGGCTGCCGCGCAGGCGCGTGCGATGTGGGCGGGCGGCCTACACCTTAGGCGATGCTTAAGAAAACTTAAGTTTTCGACCAGAGTCTCGATTATTCTTAATGTTTCAATGTAAATCCCAAGATTTCAATAGAAATGTTGGGTTTCTGAGACTATGAATTTCTTAACCCATGATTTCTTAAGCATTTCGCAGGGTGTATCCACCGTTGCGGCGATTGCTGCGGTTGCCACTCTGCCAGGCACGCGGAACTCACAGGCTTCGCGGCGCTTGTGGCCCGTCGCTCGGTGGCAGGCGAAGGGGAGAAGTGAGAAGGAGAAGGCCTTCTCGGCAGGCGGCGGGGCTTCTCAGAAGCCCTCGGCCTTCTGAGAAGTTTTCTTGTGTCTTCGGGGAAAGTTTAGGAAACTTCTCAGAAGTCCGGGGGACTTCCGAGCCTTCTGGGAAGGACCGCCCCTTCTCACTTCCCCCCCGGGCTTGCCGCCGAGTCGCGGACCGCCGCTACCTCTGCGCAGGGGAACTCCGACAGGCGGTACACGGGCGCACCACAGTCAACATCGATGAGAAGGCTGGGTGGCCTGCCCAGGAGTATGATTCTGCCCATCGTCAACCAAGTCTATACGCTTCGCGTAACCCCACCAGCTGCCAACGCGGCGGCTGTGTTCGCAAATTCGCATCGTGCCGCATCCCGGACGCCGCTTCTGCTCCCTGACCTTTGCCTCGTAGCCGCCGACCAAAAAAAAGTAACCCTACCAGCCCGTCCAGAGGCGATGCCCAGGTGAGTTGCCCTGACCAGGTATGGGGGGGAGCATGCAGTGGAAAAAAGGCTGGGAAGCCGTCATGGCCCAAGGGAGAGAGGATGGAGGAGGAACCAGATGAGAAAAAGGAGAAGGCGAAGGAGGAGGAGGAAGAGGAGGAGGAGGGGGAGGAGGAGTGAGGGCAAAAGGACGAGGGAGGACGGAGGAGGGAGGGAAAGGATTGAGCGGATGAGGAAGAGGAAGAGGGGAAGGGCGAACAGAAAGACCAGAGGCCATTGGATGCTTCTCGGAGTCTCTTCGGATGTCTCTTGAGGGGCCTGTGGGGTCGTTGTGATGGCCTCGTTGCGATCCCCGGGTTCTCTTGAAGCGTCTCGGGTGCTCGTCGGGCCTCTTGGGAATCTCTCGGGAGCCTCTTGGGGGCATCTTGGGGGGTTCTTGGGGCCTCCTGGGCGCCTCTTGGGGCACTCTTGGGCCCCCCCCTCGTCTTTTGTCCACCAACGGCCGAGCGTGCCGTTCTCCTTAACAACCCCCTCGCTTGCCAGACGGTGGGGCGGGGGGGGGGGGGGGGGGGGGGGCAGCGTCCGGAGGACTCGTGCCGTCAGCGTCTCATCTTCTCAGGAGGAGGAGGAGGAGGAGGAGGAAGATGAGGAGGAGGAGGAGGAGGAGGAGGAAGAGGAAGAGGAAGATGAGGAGGAGGAGGAGGAGGAGGAGGAGGGACAAGTGCAGGAGGAGGGGCAGGCGGAGCAGGGTCAGGATCCGGAAAAGGAGGACAACTGGTCAGAAATTGGCGGAGGCCGCTACACTTTGCATTACAGGATGACGGCCGCACGTGTGGCGCGAATTCTTGTTTTGTGTGGCGCGGCGATTGCCCAACGGTGGAGCGGGGTCGTTCCTGGCCAGTTCGATCAAGCGACTGCACGTTGCGCTTACATGTTTCAGGATGGGAAACACAAACAAAATTAATCGTCTATCCCCAGGAGCATATATGACAAGTATGGGAAGTGGGGGGGGGAGATGGACGCCCAGAAGATATGGGAACACAGGACATCCTAGGTCTAGTGTATATGTATGTGTGTGTGTGTGTGTCCTTGGGCCCCTTTAAATGTTGTGTTCATTCCTCCTGGGGCATCCTGGGGCGTCCATGTGCCCCCCTTGGGCCTCCTCAGACCTCCAGGCCACGCATGCCTCTCGCACGGCCGCCGTCGCTCGTCCCTCTCCCTAGGCCTACCCCTGGCCCTGACCCTAGCCCCCTCGCGCAGCGCGAAGCGCGAACATGCGCTCCGTGCCCCTCGGGGAAGCTCCACCTGCGGCCCCAGTGGGCGCGCGCGCATGCTGCCCACGCGCAGCGCCCAGGCCTGCAGGACGGCGACGACGACGACGACGACGACGACGACGACAATGGCGGCGGCGGCGGCGGGAGCGGCGGCGGCGGCGACGGCGACCCCTACGGCGACGGCGACAGCGACGGCGAAGGCGATTACGACGTCGACGACCGCGACGAGCCGATCCCGCCACCCCCCTCACACGAATCGTGCTCCACGGGGCTCCGAAGTCCATGCACCATGCGGCGCGTTGACTATGTGAGGAGAGGGCTGCGTCCTGTGGGAGCTGCATGCAGCGGCACAGGGCTGGGCCCTTCGCCAGACTAACGCTTGCCGAAAGTCGACGAGGGGACGCCTCCCAGCACAAGTCGGGAAAGTATCACGGCACACCACCATGCTACTCTTGCCATTCGGTACGTTGTTCTAGAACTCAGCGCCCAGCGATGGTGTAGAGTTGCCTGCGGTCGGAAGATTCCCCCCTTTGTTCGAAACTGTCCACTGCTCCTTGTGCCCATTCCGCTCCTCCCTTTCCTCATCCTCTCTGCTTGCCTTCTTCTTCCCCTGCCTCGCCAATTGCTATCCTCCCTCATCATCCTCGTCGTCCTCCGCCTCGCCCGGGTTCCTCACGGCAGCCGCCTCTCCCAGCTGCCCTCTGCAGCCCGCCCTCATCAGCTCGCCCCATTGGCTCTCGCAACGAGGCACCACCACCCTCCCCCGCCCAGGTCCGTCCTGGGCCCGGGACTGGGTACACAGACCTCCAGGCCCAGGCTATCGAGGCCTTCTAGATGGGTCGGAGTAGATGGGTCGGAGGATCGCGCCGCATCGCCGATGCATCGGCGATGCGGCTCGATGTGGAGCCCAATTTTCTCCACGCCGACGTCGCGGATGTATCGCCGACATCGCCAGTGGACGGCCGATGCATCGCCGATGCATCGGCGATGCATCGCTGATGTAGCGGCGATGCGGCGAGATCCTCCGACCCCATCTACTCGGACCCCATCTAGGAGGCCTCTAGGCTAGGAGGGCCCGTACACCAGTCCAGGCCGCCCCCCCAAACAAAATACATACAACATCGCATCACCAGTCCAGGGCCCAGAATGGGCCTGGCCAGGGCCGGTGGTGGTGTGCTGTTTGGAGCTCTCCCGCACCCTCGGTGGTTCTCGCATCGCCCCCAAGCAAGGTCAGGAGGGACAAAAAAAACAAACACAATTGATCGTCGATCCCCAGTAAAATATGCGAAAGCATGGGAAGTGGAGGGGCAGACAGAAACCCAGAAAGTAGGAGAAGACATGCGGAATCCTGGGATTTGTGTGTGCCCTTTCGTGGTGTGTCCCTGGGCCCCTTCGCGAGGTCCTGCTGGAGGCCCGGGCGGACGTGAACGCGGAGACGGAGGCACCTCCCCCGCCGCCGCCGCGCGAGGGTGCCCTCCGCCCTCGCCCCCGTCCCGTCGGCGCGTCCTCCCCCGAGCCAGCTCTGCTCCGGCGCCGGGCCCCCGACGTGCCCTGCCTCCCTCGGCAGCTGCACGCAGTCGGAGCTGCTTCGGAGGGGCCCCTCGGGGGCCTCTCTGAGGACCTCCGAGGCCGTCTGGGGGGGGGGTCTCGGGGCCGCCTGGGGGATCTGGGGGCCATGCTGGAGCCGCCCCTGGCTCCTCGCAGAGGCCGTCGCCGAGCTGTCCCCGGGGCCCCGGGTTGTCTCGGGGCTGTCGCTGCGGGGGGCGGGTCATGGCCCTGCTCGACGTCCGACTCTGCGGATATATATATATATATATATATATATATATATATGGACAGCCCCCCCCCAGCACCCACTCTACGCCTTCTCCCTCTTCCACGAAGCTGGAGACGCATCCTCTTCTCATCATCCCTGCTCCTTTCCGTTCCTCTTCCCGAGTCACGTGTTGCAAGCGGAATGCTTTTTCTAACGCAACCTCAGAAGATGCAAGCGTCCGCTTCCCCCGCCTTTGGGAGAACAGGTATAAGATATCAGCGGCAGCGCTAACAAGAACGATAAGCGAACCATATGATTTCTCAGGCATTCCAGGGATGCACAGGGATGCTAAGTGACGATCGCTGTGCAGGCTCAGGGATCCCAGGGATTCCAGGGATGCGAAGTCACGATCCCTGAGCAGGCTCAGGGACCCCAGGGATTCCAGGGATGCGAAGTCACGATCCCTGTGCAGGCTCAGGGATCCCAGGGATCCCAGGGATTCCTAACCCTCCAGCAAAACCGACCTGGGGATCCACCAGCGATCCCGCGCTCAGAATCCCTGGGATCCCTGAGCCTGCTCAGGGATCGCGACGTCGGTTGTCAGCAAACCATATGATTTCTCAGGGATCCCAGGGGTTCCAAGGATGGCAAGTCACGATCCCTGAGCAGGCTCAGGGATCCCAGGGATTCCAGGGATGCGAAGTCACGATCCCTGTGCAGGCTCAGGGATCCCAGGGATCCCAGGGATTCCTAATCCTCCAGCAAAACCGACCTGGGGATCCACCAGCGATCCCGCGCTCAGAATCCCTGGGATCCCTGAGCCTGCTCAGGGATCGCGACGTCGGTGGTCAGCAAACCATATGATGTCTCAGGGATCCCAGGGATTCCAGGGATGCCAAGTCACGATCCCTGAGCAGGCTCAGGGATCCCAGGGATTCCAGGGTGCGAAGTCACGATCCCTGTGCAGGCTCAGGGATCCCAGGGATCCCAGGGATTCCTAACACTCCAGCAACACCGAGAGCGATCCCGCGCTCAGAATCCCTGGGGTCCCTGAGCCCGCACAGGGATCGCGACGTCGGTTGTCAGCAAACCATATGATTTCTCAGGGATCCCAGGGATTCCAGGGATGCGAAGTCACGATCCCTGAGCAGGCTCAGGGATCCCAGGGATTCCAGGGATGCGAAGTCACGATCCCTGTGCAGGCTCAGGGATCCCAGGGATCCCAGGGATTCCCAACCCCCCAAATCTTTGCGAAGTCGCCAGGCCGATTTTGCTGGAGGGTCAGGAATCCTTGGGATCCCTGGGATCTCTAAGCCTGCACAGGGATGGCGACGTCGCATCCCTGGAATCCCTGGGATCCCTGAGCCTGCTCAGGGATCGTGACTTGGCATCCCTGGAATCCCTGGGATCCCTGAGACATCATATGGTTTGCTGACACCGACGTCGCGATCCCTGAGCAGGCTCAGGGATCCCAGGGATTCTGAGCGCGGGATCGCTGGTGGATCCCCAGGTCGGTTTTGCTGGAGGATTAGGAATCCCTGGGATCCCTGGGATCCCTGAGCCTGCACAGGGATCGTGACTTCGCATCCCTGGAATCCCTGGGATCCCTGAGCCTGCTCAGGGATCGTGACTTGCCATCCTTGGAATCCCTGGGATCCCTGAGAAATCATATGGTTTGCTGACAACCGACGTCGCGATCCCTGAGCAGGCTCAGGGATCCCAGGGATTCTGAGCGCGGGATCGCTGGTGGATCCCCAGGTCGGTTTTGCTGGAGGGTTAGGAATCCCTGGGATCCCTGGGATCCCTGAGCCTGCACAGGGATCGTGACTTCGCATCCCTGGAAGCCCTGGGGTCCCTGAGCCTGCTCAGGGATCGTGACTTCGCATCCCTGGAATCCCTGGGATCCCTGAGCCTGCACAGCGATCGTCACTTAGCATCCCTGTGCATCCCTGGAATGCCTGAGAAATCATATGGTTCGCTTATCGTTCTTGTTAGCGCTGCCGCTGATATCTTATACCTGTTCTCCCAAAGGCGGGGGAAGCGGACGCTTGCATCTTCTGAGGTTGAGGAGGAGGAGGAGGAGGAGGAGGAGGAGGAGGAGGAGGAGGATGGACGAGGTGAAAGAGGGGAAGGAGATGCAGGATCAAGTGGTTGGCTCTCCAGATGACGTTCATTATTCGATGCCGCCGTCTCAGGGCGAGAACCGAATCTGGCAGGAAAGAAAATGCGAGTGCGACCAGCGCGAACCGCGATGAAAATCAGTGGGTGCTGGGGGGGGGGCTGCGCACATATAATTATATATATATATATATATATATATATATATATAATACATAATACATATATACATAGAGAGAGAGAGAGTAGAAATCTACGCAATCATAAGGGATAAGGACGGAGGGGTACGTAGGACGTCAGTTGTGATGCTTGCGCACCTCCCTCGCCCTTCCCCCCCTTTCCTTCCCTGCCCCCGCTCCCGCTCCTGCTCGCCCCCCCGCGCTCTCCCCACCTGCTCGCCTCCTCCTTTCCAACGGAGTGGTTGGCGTCCCTCGGGCGTGTGTTTTTTTTTTCTTTCGGCGAGGACAATCGAGGAGCATTTTGGATCGTCTCTTGGTATCGCTCGGACGTGTGCACTTTTTCTCGGCGGGGATTATTAAGGAACTTCCTGGATCACCCTGCGAAAAAACCACGCGCGAAACCGAACAAAAACACAGGGAATGGACGTCCGAGCGATGGCCAGGTCTAGCGACCAATACATTTTTACCGTCGGCGGCGAGGCAGAGGCGGTCCGCTCCAACGCCTGGCGATCCAGGGTAACCGAAGGGCCAATTTGCCGGCATGCAAGAGAGGGCACATGGACTAGGGCGGCCGCGGGGAGAGCGGGGGGGGGGGCAGCACTCAAGTGTGGAAGACTTCCGCGTCGAGCGGGCCGTGGCAGCGGTGACCGTGGCAGCAGCCAGGCCGGGGCGAGGGTGCACCCACGTGCCCTGCCGGGGCTCAGTGGCGATGTCGAGTAAGTAGCTGATCCAGTGCAGGAGTCCACAGACCACCAACAGCAAAAACGCTGTGCCCACCAGGGTCGCGCTGGCGGCAGCGTCTGCAGCGGGGCGGCACCGGGGTGGGGGCGGGCTGCACGCCAGGAGCGGCAGCGGGGCAGCGCCATGGCGGCGCGCCAGGAGGGAGGAGGAGGAGGGGGAGGAGGAGGAGGAGGAGGAGGAGGAGGGGAGGAGGAGAAGTGGAGGCGGAGAGGAGGAGGAGGAGGGAGGAGGAGGAGGAGGAGGAGGAGGTGGAGGCGGAGGAGGAGGAGGAGGAGGAGGAGGAGAGGAGGAGGAGGTGGAGGAGGAGGAGGAGGAGGAGGAGGGGAGGGGGAGGAGGGGGAGGGGGAGGGGGGGGGAGGAGGGAGGAGGAGGAGGAGGAGGGGGAGGGGGAGGGGGAGGGGAGGGGGAGGGGGAGGAGGAGGAGGAGGAGGAGGAGGAGGAGGAGGAGGAGGAGGGGAGGAGGAGGAGGAGGAGGAGGAGGAGGAGGAGGAGGAGGAGGAGGGAAGGGCCATGGAGGCGAGGGAGAGGCAGGGGGAGGGAAGGAAAGGGAAGCGCCCCACCCGCGGGAAACCCCAGCGGGCGGGGCGGCAGCAGCCTGCATCCCAGCGCCGGCGGCGTGACGAGCGTGGGGAAGCCCGCAGCTGAGGCGACCCAGATGGTCGAGAGTGGCGGCTGCGCTGGGGGTTGGCAAAACTGATGGCAGACGACGCGCAACCTGAGAGGTCGCCCACCAGGGTACCAGGTGCGCTGATCTGGTGTGGTGGCCCCCGTGGGGGCGGCCGGTTGGTGGGCGGCCCTGAGAGACGCTGCAGCGCGGTAGTACCGCGCTGCAGCGTCCGACCGTCGGTACCGTACCGACCGGCCCTGCCCCGTGACCCGATGCGGGCCACGTAACGTGGGGACCAGCGTCTTTATGGGCTTGGTAGGCCTGGTAGGCGCGGTGTCACAGGGTCGTTCTCGGGCCAGGTAGGATCAGCACGCCGCGTGTCTGTCCCCTGCGAGCCGCCTCCTTTTTTCCGTTGCCTTGGTTGTCATCATGGAGGCATGAGCAGCGGAGTCGCTGTGGCGCTGGTGTTGCCAGGCTCCCTCCCAGCCCCACCTGAACATTGCGATACCAGCAAAGGCGGTTGATGTCGTGGTGGATCCAGTCCAGGTCAACAAGGAAGTCTCTGAAGAACTTGTCCTGGTCGATTGGGTTGTAGGTGCCTCGCCCTTTGCCCTTTGGCTGTGAGGGTTCCAAATCGATAGTGAATACACAACTATGTTTCGCTCTTCGCAAGCACTGCTCAATGCTTCGACACCGAAGGCTCCGCACTCGCGCTTTAGCCGGTTGACCACTTCAGGCCACGTCTCCCAGCGGAGGTTGCCAGAAGGGTTCGTTGGACAAGGCTGTTTTCGCTGGCCCTGAGGCCCCTAAGCCTGACCTGATGCCTTACAGCTCAACCTGAGGCGCCCCAACAGCCGTCGAAATCACCCTTCTTGAACCAGACTCTCTCGACGTTCCCGATCCCAGGCGTTGGTCTGGTAGTTCTGGGCTCTTTCCCAGTCAGTGGCCTGGCGGGGCCGCGCGCACAGGCAGCCGTCGGGGTCGCTGTCGTCAGCGCAGCCCCGGTCGGCGCGGGAGGGCCTGCCTCCTCCGGGCGCTGC